AGCCTAGAACTAAAAAAATGTAGAAGATATAAATAGAATATATACAATACAAACTATAGTTTATTTCTCCATATATTAGACTATACAATAATAAGAACTGGCTATGTTCTTAAAATGCAAAATTCTTAAGTGCCAAGTGTCAGTGCAACACCGAAATTCCCATACTTCAAAACTGAAACTTCAATTCAAATTAAATCATCAAAATTAAAATTAAATTAGAAAATTCAGTTCCATTATCATAACGAATTACAGTGTATTAACGATGAATTGAGGAATCGGAGAGTCGATTTCGAATTCCAGTCGAGTACTTAACATTCACTTACGTACTGATACACTTAGGACAGGTAAGGATATATCTCTTCATTCCCCACGTATGGGTAAATACCAGCACAGGGTTCTATAGCCTTGGGTAGCGAACAGTCTAGGAAAAAGACAATTCTGAATTCAACATCTGCGGAGGGTCGCTTGGGTCATTGTGGCATACTTCACAGCACTTGTCTATATTCAACTCTTTGAAAAAGTTTCGTTGGTTGTGCAAAAGGCTTCACTAATATAACTAAATCATTTGTACGGTTAGTCTGCCTGTTAGTTCTAGGAACTGAGAGAGTCGAACCCAGTATATATATATATATATATGATTTTGTACTACTTGCACCTCTGAAGATGATCTTGGAAGGATATCGAAAGAAATTGGGAAAATAAAATAAAAATAATTGAAACAGCTATAGCACAGTTCTCGCATCCTTTAACACGGAAGGTTATTCGTGAGTTTGAACAGATTTTGTTAAAAATTAGCAGAAATAATGACTGTAATTTATTCACTCAGATATACATAAAAGAGAATTTGCCGCCCAAATAAACATATATAATAGTCAGCTACTACTCGTTTGCAAGCATATCCGTTTGCCAGAGCGACTAGCAAATCCCTATCACAGTTGCCTGCTCTGTCCAACTCTAGATTATATTGCATCTGATGTGAACGGAACTTAGTCACAGTTTCTGGGAGAGAACGCATAATATGACGTGATCATTTTTATTAAGGGTGACAGCCAATTCAAAACATTGGCCACGATGTCTTGGGATTTCGTGGTAGTACAACCATCTGCAGCTTCCGGACGTTTCTTTCTACCCAATTTCACACACAAGGGTCGTGTTATGGTTTTCATAGACTTTCAGAAAGTGCTGAGCGCTGGGATTGTTTCTCCAGGCCTTTATATTCAAGAAGACAACTCATTATGAAATCGACCGTTGTGAAAATCAGAGCCAGCTCTTATTCCAACCAATCGGACACACACACACACACACACACACACATATATATATATATATATATATATATATATATATATATATATATATATATATGGTAAGGTAACAAAAGCGTTGGTAAAAAAATCCAAGCGGATCCTAATAATATAAATATTAAAAGTGATCCGCAAAAAAGAGCTCAATGCATTTTTTATTACAGGGCAAATAATCAATACACAAAAAATCCCAAATCATCTCATATGGATTACCCTGATACATCTATCTATCTATCTAACTATCTATCTATCTATCTATATATATATATATATATATATATATATATATATATATAGTAAAGGTAACAAATGCTTTGGTATATAATGCCGCTGGATCCTAGTAATAGAAGATTTTAAAAACGATTCACATAAATAGCTCACAATCTAGTTATTACATAGCAAATGTTTAATATACAATAAAATCCCAAATCGCCTCATATGTGGAATGACCCAAAATTCATATATATATATATATATATATATATATATATAATAAAAATGTTTAAACACTAATATTCCATGGTTAGAATTTATTACATTGGAATCGTAATTATGATCCAATTCATCAGACCCACAAATTCAAAAAGAAATCAGAAAAATAACTCCGGGAATAAAAATAAAATTTAGTGAGAGTGTATGTATGAATGAGAGTGGTGGGACGAATGTGAAAGGTAAATGAAAGCTCTAGAGACAGGTATCAGGCGAGAGAAGAACAGGAAGTTTTAAAAGTGAAGGTGGGTATTAAAATTTAACAGAGAGAAGTTTTAAAGAAAGGGGTTAAAAGACGGTTTAAATGAGTGAGAAACAGATAAATATGAATTATTTATGAGATACATTATTCATTACTGAATCGCTGACCTAAATTAATATATATATATATATATATATATATATATATATATATATGTGTGTGTGTGTGTGTGTGTGTGTGTGTGTATTAACCACTAATATCATCTCTCTCTCTCTCTCTCTCTATATATATATATATATATATATATATATATATATATATATATATATATATATGGATGAATATCATCTCTCTCTCTCTCTATATATATATATATATATATATATATATATATATGATGAATATCATATCTCTCTCTCTCTCTCTATATATATATATATATATATATATATATATATATATATATATATTTTTATGGATGAATCCAGGGTTATGCAGAGGCATAGACCTCTTCAACACGTCCCATAAATGCTCATTTGGGTTCAAGTTATGCCACATCATTCCTCGAAATTTTCGTCACAGTAATTCTAAGCAACATGGGCTCAATACTTTGTTTCATTATTACTGTTTTGCAGGGATATATGTCTATGACTGCTTTTTAAATATCAGGAAACACTATAGCGTTGTACTCACTGTTTAAGGAACTTTGTTGGGGGACAGCTCTCTATGAGCTCAGCCCACAACTTCATGGCAGCATTACCAGCCAACCTTATTAACTAATTGGGCACATGCCTTATTGATTTCGCACCACACACGAACTCTACCATTATCTCTCCTCTGATTTAGCCCTGATGATTCAATGGGGAAATGACTGGCTTGTAATATTCAATGTGGCCAAGTCGAAACTAGTAACGTTTCACCATCACATAGCCGACTCTGAATGTTCGTCTCTCTTCAGGTTTTCTTTTAAGGAAGATCCTTATCTTGTTTTCCTATGGTGACACAAGTTCTTCCCAGACTTCAAGTGGAACTCAGATATGCGATCAATTCTTAAATAAGCTGGGAAAATGGAGTGTTCATTTTAGCGCCCCAGTAAGTATCTGACACGCTGGCTACACTCTATTTTTACAAGAGCCAGGTTATATCTGGGTTGGACATTGCCTGTTGTGATGGAGTTTAAATGCGTTAACGCGGCCTTTTGGGTGATGATGTATTATGTCACCCTACATCTCCTTTCACACAGACAAAAAATCGTACACTGTTGCTATTTTATTGTATTCTGACCAGATACATTTCCTTGTCCACTCACTCCTGGCCTTTGAAATTGGGAATCTATTCTCTTCGTATTCCAATAGGGAAAACTATGTTGTTTTCGGTCAGCTTCTTGTCAAAGACTACTGCTTTGTGAAACACACTCCCACCAGGATGTTCTCCCAATCACTCCAATTTTGACCTCTTCAAGTCTAGAGCTAACCTTATTTTTTCCTGCATAGTCAAATAAATTCCAATTGTTACGCTTATACATTACACTTTGTAACCCTCTATCTTCGGTGGCTCTTGGACCTTGTCCTGGATGTCCATTGGTATAAAAAATTAGTCTGAAAATTAAAACTCGGTATGGTCACATCAAATAACGTCTCACTCTGCCAATTATCTAGTTATAATTATCGATCTCATTAGCACATCTTTGGTATTGTCTCTGCTGGTGTAATCTGCTCCTAAAACACAGGGAAGGTAAAATCTGTGGAACTGACTTGATATATTAGTACAGGCATGAGCAACCCTTTTTTCGGGCAGTGGGCCGTAGCATCTATGGCTCACAAGACGGGTGGCCCTTCTAAAAAATTCAAGGTAATTTTACACAGTATGTTACCTCAGCTATTTTCACTGCAGAAGGCCATATGCGGAAGCGTATATCTAAAAATGTGGAAAAAAAGTCGATTTCTTTTTTTTTCTTTAGGGAAAAGATCTTTCTATAAATAAAAAAAATGAAATATTGGCAGAATATTATCACAGATGGCATTTTGATTAACACATGTCGCTGCGTTTGATTTATTTATAATTGAAAATATAAAAAAATATTCTTTAGAGAAAAAATAATACGAAGGTTTTCTCTTTCAAAAGCAGAAGATGTTTACACCTATGATATTCCTTGGCGAAAATCGCCAATGGTTTAAAATAAAAACGTTACTTTCACCGAAAGTTTACAAAATTCAAGAAACATTGTAATTAACCATTGTTTATGTATGCTGTTAAGTATGAGAGAGAATGTGTGAGTGAACAAGTGAGATCAAAACAAAACAAAATGTTAAGAAATGTTATTTTCCTTATGAAATTAACAGTGCCATTCAGAAAGACCAAACGGGCAGCATGCTCCCCCGCAGGCCGCGCTTTACCCATGACTATATTAGTATATTCGTCTGGCAACTCATTCAGTGTATAGGAATGTGATCTTAGCCGGTATCACTTGTTTGATTTCTGCAGACGTTTCTAGTCAAACAATTCTGTTCTGTATCGTTAAGAAATCGAGCTCGGATAATGCGTCATTAGCGGTGAACGATAATGATTGCGATCAGGTCTTCCCGTATACACGTGACCCCTAGATTGAAGAATGGCAAGTATCCTCAAAATCTCAGAAATGTTATGCTTCATCCTTCTATTACCCTTATCAAGCCCCGTTCGCGCTGTAAAAATTATGTTACTTTGCCATGTACAGCTAAGAATACATTTCTAGGACTTCCTAGATTGATTGATTGATTTGTTATTTTATGGCTTATCAACCTTTTTCAGATTATTTAAAGCCAGAAAGTATTTTTAAATTGTAAATTTTATTTTGTCATTTTAACCATTTACTGATACAAGTCTTACTAATTAACTCATAATTTCCCAAGAGCGTTTGCGCGTAAGTGAATATAATGTGTCCGAATAGAATTGAACTCGTCTCTCCGATTTCCAATTCCGAGCCGTTATCCATTACCCCACTCGCACATCCAAGGTTACAGAACCTTGATATTCCCAAGAGGTCACCCATTTAGGTACTTACCAGGCTCGATGACGCTTAACTTCGATGATCGTACGGAAACCGGTATTTCAACGTGATATGGCTGTA